AATAGAGCTGTTATGATTACTCCTTTTTGCTTTTTTCATGGAGTCCTGTTTGGTCCAGGATACCATAGTATGGTGCCATACGTTTCAGGGTCTTTAAAACACTACACTGCGCTCTTGACTCCTGTCACTGTTAATAGAAAGTGCAAAGCTGTGTATGTTATGTGTAGAAGATGATAAAAGAATCCGTGTCCCTTCTGTAATGACATTTTCAGACTCTACTTTTCAGGTGCTGAAACTTCTATTATAGGTAGAAAGATGAAGTTGAGGCTTTCTTTGGGAAAAAGGTTCTCTTTCCCAAATCTCTGTCCCTGATATTACTTCTCAGTGCTTGACGATATTTCTGAAAAAGTCTTCTTACCTTTGACTCTTTAAAAATAAGCAGTTTGTTTGGAGTGTATGTTAAAAAAATAAATAAACCTTTGTTTCATAATTACTTATACGAATCTAATTCATGAAGGGGTTCTTAACCATCCTCTTCCTTCTCTCTACGTATCAGCACTGTCAGAATGTGTCTCTTCGCTCATCCTTACCTTACATTTGTCAGGGGGACGAATGTCCCAGCTCTGTTCCGAGGCTAAACTTCCTGTTCATTCCATCCCTCTGACCAGTTTTCAGAACCTTGTTCCATAAATTGAATCCTCCTTCTCCTTATTTCCCTGTTTCTCTTCCCTTTCTTCCCACTGACTCTCCCAAACATAAAACATATCCTGGTTTTCCCCATCCTTAAAAAGACATGGAAGCAATCCTTCCAGTGTCTTTTCGTTGGTTTCAATTCACTACAGTTTCTTACTTTTACCTTTTACTTTTTCTTTTCTATTTATTTGCACAGTTTTTGAAAGAATCATTTATGCTTGATGCCTCCACATTCACACTTCCCATTTATTTTCCAAAGCAATATAATTTGGAATCTTCTCTCAGTGCTGTGCTAAAATTGCTTCACTGGTACTCTGCCAAATTTAGTGGACTTGTCTTTCTTGGGCCTACCGGCCTTTCTGGGGTGTTAGATTTTTGACTCTCTCTTCTTTTTGGAGCTCTGCTTTTTAATAGTTTATGTGACATTGTTTTCTGCTAGCTCTCTTACCACCTTGTTGACAGTTTTTGGCCTGCTTTGCTTTTCTTATTTTACATGTTTCTTAATTCTTGATGTTTTTCACGTTCTTTTAAAAAATTCCTTTTTCATCTCCATTATTGGTCACCTGACTTGTTACTACCAAAGACTCAGTTTTGTTTTGTTTTTTAAACATTTTTATGGAACTCTACTTTGAATAGACCATATTCATTATGGAATAGAATAATTCCAATAGATCATAGTCTTCATGGAAGAAATCTTACAGTGTTTGCAATAAAAGTAGCAAGCACAAATACTGCATTTTAAAAGTGATTTTGCAATTTTCTACTCTAAATATTTTCTCCACATTGTAGTAAAACAGTTAGGGTACCATTTAAGTAATTCCAAGTCTGACCACAATTCAGCTTTAGGAGAAAAATATCATGAAGGCTTTTGCCTTGTATTTGGAGGACTTTCCTCTCTAACTTAAGCTTCAAGGGCTCTCATAGTTTTACTGGGAAGTTTTATCACTTTGTTCTGTATTTTGATTTTTGCATGACAGATTTTGATCTGTCAAACCTTATGAAAGGCTCCAGAAGAATTTGTCCATGGAAGTCATTGGTGTAGACATAATTCTCTGAGTTACAAGTTAGGTTAATTATAATATTCTTAGCTGATTCATTTTTAGTTAACAGTAAATGCCATTAAACTATACTTATTTCTAAATAAGTTTATTTTTCAAGTAATGAAAAATATAACAAGTTTTGTTTTTCCAATGGCAAGGATCATTTTGGCTGTAATATATAAAAAACCCTCTTGTCATTCCAGATTGGAATTTAGTGCTTTTTTTTTTTTTTTTAATATAGAAGCATTTCACCATTTTAATTACGGTTTTGCCCAGTCCAGTTGAATAACTCATCAAGAGAATATAATTTATTGATGGTTTGAGATTGAATTGGATGTTTAGACTACTTGATTGTATGACTTTGGGCAAGGTACTTATTCATTCAGTGTTTGTTTTAGCCTGTTTTGTGTTAATAGTGACAATTACCTGTTGTGTTGTATTTTCGTGTCTCCACTGAGCTTTTTCATTTTGAGTGGATTTGTTTCTGCTCTTCCTCCCCTGCCCTCCTCTGTCCGCCTTTCCATTCAGTACAGAGCAGAGATTTCATTTAGAGTAACGATGACTAAAGATCCACACTCTATCCTCAAACACAAATCTCTTTAGTTCCTGTTCAGTGACATTAGCCCCAGAGAATGAATACAAAGAACGAATTCCATGTTTAGATGAAAAGACATGATTCAGTCCATAATTTATCTTTGCTTTTTATTATATAGCAGCACCTTTGGCTAAAGGCAAGACATTCAGGAAGTTAGGCCTATAAATGTCATCTCTTTCACTCTTAGATCTAAACAGATTAAGCTCAATATTATTATTACCCATGTTTTATTTAGCAGTGGCCTTTGCAGACCTGTCTTCATGACAAATGTTTGGAATCTGTGGGATGCTTCCTACTAATTGTGTTAAGACCAGAGTCCCTGTATTGTTAGGTAATAAAATTTAAATACTTTTTGACTTGCTCAAGTACATTCCTGTTGTTATAGTCTGTTTCATCTAGTTTGTTGAAAGAGTTCTACACTGATTTCTAAAATCAAACTAGGTCATACAACCATTTCTCTGCACATTTTAGAAAAATTTTTTCATTATTGACTGATGCTAGTCACTAAAACCTCATAAGATGTCATTCACAAAAAGAAGTCTAGTAGAATTGTGAGGGCTTAGTTATTTTCTTTCTTTTCAGCCAAAGCGTTCAGGGCTCTATAGGCCAAGAGCGTTTCTGACCCTGTGGGATCTATTTACAAGGAGTTCGACATATGGGCAAGAGTTTATCATCTGAGAGAATGATCTGTTGTTAATTGCATTTTTTCCTTCCATTTGTCATTCTTTTGGCGTTCTTAAGTACCTTTATTGTTCAAGAGTATATTTCCTAGTTTATTTTCCTTTCAAGCAATATAATATTGCCTGGAGTTTTTTGTAGTAGGCCACATAAGCACAGTGTAGCCACACCTCTGTTAACTAACTTCTCCTAAAATAAAATAGTGTTACTGTTTTGGATGATTCATTGGTAGAAATAAGTGTGTGCACACAGACTTGTGCTGATCTACCTAACTCTTCCACTGAAGAGTATTGAATTTCACGCCATTATGCGTTGAGAAGTGGTAAATGTTGCTTTTCTAGATAGCAGTTGTAGATAACTACCTGGTATTCTGTAGATGAGCTAAAGATGGCAAATTCAATAGAGAAGGGAGGAAAGACTAATGTTACAATTAGTCAAGATTTGAGTTTCTGTAGGGTTGTCAGATTTAGCAAATAAAAGTATGAGATGCCCAGTTAAAATTGAATTTCAGATATACACTGAATAATTTTTTGTATTAATATGTCATAAATATTGGGACACACTTATACTAAAACATTATTTGTCATTTATCTGAAATATGAATTTGACCGGATGTCCTGTATTTTATCTGACAAACCGTGATGATGTAGTTTGGAGATAAAGCAACTTTTATAGAATGTGTTGAGAGGAGACCTCACCACAGGCTGTCATTACCTGATTTAAAGGATGTTCATTAAATATAGACCATGGTGGCTTGTATGGTCTCATTATTAGTTCAGTTTATTGATGCAACTCTAAGGCAGAGTTGAACGAATTCTAATTGTTGCATCCTCCCTTTGATTTGTTTCCATGAATCCCCTTCGATTTGTTTCCAAAAGTTTGGAAATCTGATTATATCATCTCCCGACATAAAGTCTTACACACTTAGGATAAACTGCAACTTCCTTGCTCAGCACGATATAATGATGTGGCTTTCGTTTACCTTTGGCTTCCTTCTCCTTTGTTCTGCTGCTCCAGCTTTAAGCTGCAGTCATAGTGAATGTGGCTTCTCCCAACGGGACACGTTCTCCTTTTATCAGGGCTTTAGTCCTGCTGTTCTCTCACCTAGTAACCTTTGGAAAGTTCAGAGTTTTCCGGGAAGCTTTTCCCGATCATCACGACCACCCCCGACCCCTTTTCTGGGCACTTTTTTATAGCACTTAGCGTACCCTGTATGTGCTTGCATGCCTGGGAGGTGTTTGAGAGCAGGAACTATTTCTATTCATGGATTGATATTTCTCATGCTTGGTACATGAGAGAGGTGTTTAACCAAATACTTGTCTACCTAATGAGTAAGGAGAATGTAAGGAGCTTCACAGACTGTCAAAGCATAAACAAATGTAGGTCCTCTTGCATTCCAGAGCCCACGTTCTCCTGGGCAGTGCCTTAAACATATTTTTTGCTTGGTATCATGATTCCAGTCTGGTGAAATTAAGTCTTCTTGACCTGTGACCTAGCATTTGGTCTGGTTTTCTTATCTTAGTGTGGAGGCAGTGGAGTTGGATAGGGAGCTTCAGAAGTAGATAGAATGATCCGTTGCTTAAGCTGGGGCCCTGGATCTTTATGTGACTGTTTGTTATATATAGCTTTTTGAAAGTTTCAAATATTTAATAACGGTAGAATTAGAGTTGTATTACAAATCTTTCTTAAATAGCCATTCTACAGTTTCATAACATTGATGTCAAGAGCCTGTTTTCATATTTCCAGCAAAAATCTCTGAATTTTATTTCCTTTTTCTGCCATTTCACACTATCCCATGCCTTTTTGTTTGTTTGTTTTATGGTTTCATTGTGCTTCATAAAGTACACGCTTAAATATGTGCTCCCGAAACACCCTGGTTAACAGCTTGCTGCCGTTGATGGGAAAGAGCTTGGCAGTGTTGGGGGGGTGGTTTTGCAGCAGGAACTCTTGCTGGTCCTCAGGTGTTTTTGGAGGTCAGTGGTGTAAGTCGGTGAATAAACCTTCTTTCCTGTGCGTATATATGAGGAGCTTGATTTTTCTCACCTTATCCACAGGCAAGTGAAGGACCAGAACAAGAAGGTGGCAAACCTGAAGCACAAGGAGCAGGTGGAGAAGAAGAAAAGCGCGCAGATGCTGGAGGAGGCCCGGCGCAGGGAGGACACCCTCAGCGACAGCTCCCAGCAGCTGCAGGTGGGCGGCGGGCCGGGCCCTGGGCGAGCGGGTTCCCTCCCCGCTTGGCACGTGGCTCACTCTCCATCCTCCTCTTCCTCTCTTTCTAACCCTGCCCGCTGCCTTCCTCTCAGACCAACTGTTTAGCAGTACAGGGATGGCTTTAAATAGAAAAGGCAAGCTTTATTCCACAGCTTTGTTTGGAAACCTCAGCAAAGGAGAAAGTCTGTCTCCTCAAGGGGATCCCGCCTCCTTGGTAAGTTCAGCGTCCGTGTGATGAGTGGGGTCTGTTGAGCTTCAGGCGGTCAGTGTAACGATTGGCCATTTTCCTTCATTAAAGTGCATTGCCAATCTTGGTTTGTGCCTGGCTTCCTTCTTTGTTCCATCTTCCTTTCCTTTCTCCCCCCACCTTTCTTACCTTTCCCCCCCTCCCTCTTTCTTTCCTTACTTTTAAAAAGTTCAGTTTAGAGAGTGTATTTCAGTCATACAGGATGTATTAAAACATACTTTTTTACTTTACTGGAGACATAATCGATGTTTGGACCTAATTATTCACAAGACTAAGTTAAACCAGACTCAGTAACAAGAGTAGCAGTGACCACGTAAGTGCCAGCTGTGTGCCCAGTGCTTGAAGCCAGGGCCTGGTCATTCACTGTTTCTAACCTTCACTAGTCCAGAGAGGCAGATGGGTTTTGCACATTTTACAGATGAGGAAATGGTCTCAGAGAAATTGAATTACTTACCTACATGCACACAGCTTTCTTAGTGGCTCGGCTGTGATTTTAACTGAGACTCCCTGGATCTCTCGCCTGTCTGAATGAAAGTTTAAGTTTAGAGAATGCCATAGACGTGGTGGAAATCTCTAAAACTCCTGCCAAGACTGCTAGCCACTGCCAGGTTGTTTTTCTCTCATTATAGTTTCTAATTGGTATCATAGTGCTTATACCACATTGCATGGCCACAGAAATCTTTACTGGAGAGACTTGGAGGAGTTATCTGTTACATAGAAGCCATTTAACTTTGATTATAAAATACATACTCTGTATAGAAACAGTATAAATTTCCTCAAATACACCAACTTTTGAAAAAGCAGCATACCAGTTTTCCCACACCCTTGCCAATAACAGTTGATACTATAAGTTTTCTTCCTCCGTTTTTATTTTTTAGTGCCAATCTGATGGGTGGAAAATATTTAATTTTTGTTTTAATTTATATTTCTCTGATAACCAGTGAGGAAGAGTATTTTTCCATGTCTTACATTTTCATTTGTTCATTAATGTACTTAAATCTATCTCTGTCTTCCATGGTGGCTTTTTCCCTGTAGATTTTTTGCTTAGTTTATCCCCATTTTGAGAACATATAAATATTTACCTATAAATATTTTTAAGTTGTTTTGGGCTTTCAGTTTTAACCTTTACTTTTTTTTTTTTTTTTTTTTTTTTTTTTTGCGGTACACGGGCCTCTCACTGTTGTGGCCTCTCCCGTTGCGGAGCACAGGCTCTGGGCACACAGGCTCAGCGGCCATGGCTCACGGGCCCAGCCGCTCCGCGGCATGTGGGATCTTCCCGGACCGGGGCACGAACCCGTGTCCCCTGCATCGGCAGGCGGACTCTGAACCAGTGTGCCACCAGGGAAGCCCTACTTTTTAATTTAAATAATTTTAGGTAGTTTGTGTTGTGAGGATCTTACATTTTTCTTCATTGCTAACAGTTTCACTAGAGTATTTATAGAAAATTATTTCACTGCTCATAGGTTTGAATTGACATCTTTATGGTTTATGAAATTGTTTAATAATTAGGCTGTTTCTAGGATTTCAGTTCAACCTGCTTTCTGGACTAGGATCACATTGTTTTTAATTATAGAGAATATTTATTTGTTTTATAAGACAAGCCCTTCTTTATGGCAGCACCTTACCCATTTCATCTGTCTCATTCCCCCCACCCCCGCCAGATAATGGTTTCTGCTACCAGTCTGTCTTTGTAAACCGAAGTGTGCCCTTTTAATCTTCTGTCAGGTGTTACAATAACACCAAAAGTGCTTTCATAGGTCGTCTCGTTTCCTCTTTATATAACCCAACAGATAAGTGAATCAGATTATTTGTTTATATATTATATATAGACAAAACGAATTTAGAGTGGATGAGTGACTTTTCCAAGGTGTCTCAGTAAGTGACGGTTATTCAAGTTATGAAAAATGATAGCTGATGGCCATATGCAAGATACACATGGATGCACTTCATTCAGATATGTGAAAAGAGCACTGGACTACAAGCGGGACACTTTGGATCTGATCTCAGCTCTTTTACTCACTTGCTCTGCTACTTGTTTCTTAACTGTGTCATTGCAAAGGACAACGCAGTGGTGGTGAGTATTCCTAGGACCCTATTGTGATCTCTAAATATGAGTCCCCACTGAAAGACACTAGGGATTCTTGGAGAAATGGCTAATGGTAGAATCCATGGGGGAGTAGGGGAGTAGAAAAGCAATTGTTTGAGGATTTGTATTTTTAGAAGTTCTCATTATCTGAATTTGTTTTTGTTTTAAATTTCTGAATGTACATATGGGTCCATTACTGATGTTTTCATGAAATAGGTGAGGTGAAGGGAAGGAATTTTTGTAGTATATCCAGTATGGGCATAATAGTAATTCGAGGATTAAAAAATATTTTTTATCATGTTAAAAAGAAATGCTTTATAACTAATGTTTTGAACTTTGATGAGTAATGAATATTTAATCTTTATCAGATGCCACCTTGGCTTCCAAAGATTAATTATGCTTATCATGTTAATAAACACAGTGTATTTTCTTTTGTTTGTGAAGAGTAAAGCTTGGTTTAAACTAGAAGGTTCGTTTTTGCCTTTCGTTATTCAGTGACTGCCAGTTACGGTGTTAAGTTCATTGGTGACCTCACTCTTTCTGGTTACAGTTTGTCACAAAGCAGTGGTATTACTTTTTCATTTAACTTTCTTTATTCTGAAGAATAATATACATTTTAAAAAGTACGTAAAACACACACACACACTTACATGCACAGTGTGAATAATACATGTAAAGTGATTGTCTCAAGGAATTGGAATACCGCTGGCATCCCAGAAATCATTTATGTATTCCTCCCCAACCGTCATTTCTTCCCTTCCTTCATTATTGTGACTTTTATTGTTCTTTGCTTTTCTTTACAACCTGTGTATATATATATATTTTTTTTTTTTTGCGGTAAGCGGGCCTCTCACTGTTGTGGCCTCTCCCGTTGCGGAGCACAGGCTCCGGACGCGCAGGCTCAGCGGCCATGGCTCAGGGGCCCAGCCGCTCCGCGGCATGTGGGATCTTCCCGGACCGGGGCACGAACCCGCGTCCCCTGCATCGGCAGGCGGACTCTCAACCACTGCGCCACCAGGGAAGCCCCTGTGTATATATTTTTAAAACGTATAGATTCGTTTTACGTATTTTTGCTTTACGTAAATAGAGTGATCATATTTATTCTTCTGTGGCTTCTTCTGTTCAACATCATGTTTGAGGCTTATCCTTGCGTAGCATTTGCACATTCGTTGTCCTTGCTCTTCTGTGTGTTTTTTCTTTAATTCAGAATTCCATGTTTTATTTTGAAAGTGTTCTGAAAAGGTATCTTCATTTTGTTCTAAGTTTTAAAAATACTTCAGGTGGAAATAAAAGTATTTCCTTTTGGCATAAAGTGAGTTTCGAGATAAGTTGTTACTTTGTTCTTGGCTCAACGTATTAAAAGTGTCCTGAAGAGATTGAAGAGATACCTTACATATGAAATGAAAATGCTACCTGAGAATAGAGGGAATCGCGGGATCTCACAGGCTCTAAACACTGCTGCTGTTTAGCATGGCCTTAGTTGTGAAGGCACTCGACTGCATCCTGTTTGTACTTTCGTGTTTTGAACAGTTATTACTATGATCTACATTAACTAGTCTCAAACTTTTTGGTTTTAGAAGCCCTTTTGTGCTCTTAATAATTTGTAAAGTCTCCAGAGCAATTTTTTTATGTGGGTTGTAATTCTCATATACATATGCAGGTACTTAACTGCCCCAGCTCTCCAATGTCTAGCTGTATCTAAAGACACATCTCCAACAGTATAAAGTTACATATACAGCTGACCCTTGAACAACACAGTTTTGAACTCGAGGACCCACTTACACACCGACAGTTTTCCGTAGTAACTACTACAGTACCACGTGGTCTGTGGTTTGAAGCCATGGATGCAGAGGAACCTCATGTGGAGGGCTGACTGTAATTATACTCAGATTAAGCCCCGTGTTGTTCACAGGTCATGTACACAAGGTTATTTGCAGTATTGTACTAGTTGCAAAGTATTGCAGACAATGTAATTGCTTATAGATAGGAGAGTGCTTGAATCCACTGTGGTGCATCCACGTTGGAGACTGGCAGCTCCAGAAAGGGATGAGGGAGATCTCTAACGAACTGATGTGGAGTGATTTCCAGGACATCTTGTCAAGCCGGGGCGGGGGGTACACAAAAGACTCTCTGTAGTATGCTGCTCATTATGAGAGAGCACACATATATCTGATCCTTTTTGCCAAAGAAAACAGGAACAATAAGCTAGAAACGAAAGAGACCAGTTATCTAAGGGAGTGGTTGGGAGGGGATTAGTAGAAAGAAGGGGAAGGGCATGGGGGTGGTAGGTTTGAGGAGAAAGTGACACTTCTCTTTATCCTTCCCAAAAACTAGATAAAACCAGTCAAGGTGTGAGGTTGGGGGAACCCCAGAAGGAGTACAAACCCTAACAGATGAAATCCAGTTTTATAAATGAGTAACATAACTGCCCTCAAAGGGGTGGGGAAGAAGGGAACGGACCTAAGGAGCTTTGGAAGCCATTTTCTTGAATACTGTGAAGCTAAAGACAGAAGAACTGTACATAAATGTTGTAATAATAAAGAAATATATTGTAGGTAATGAAGGCTGAGTTTTTTCATTATTCAAGAAAGAATAATGAAAAAGCACCTGGGGTGCTAGACTGGAATCAGAAATACTAGTAAGAGC